TATATATATATATATATATATATATATATATATATATATATATATATATATATATATATATATATATATATATATGCGCATGTGTGTGTATGTATGCATGTGTATATGTATTATTCACACACAAATAAATTGTATCAGCAAATGTAGGCCATTTTTCTATTTTTAAAAACTGGTGCTGGTGCTCACAAGTTTCTATTATAGTAACGCTGGGTACTTTCATTTTAGCTCACCCCAAACAGTTTATGCATTTATTAGTGTGTGTATGTATGTGTGTGTGTGTGTGTGTGTGTGTGTATGTATGCATGTGTATATGTATTATTCACACACAAATAAATTGTATTAGCAAATGTAGGCCATTTTTCTATTTTTAAAAACTGGTGCCGGTGCTCACAAGTTTCTATTATAGTAACACTGGGTACTTTCATTTTAGCTCACCCCAAACATGGGGGAACCCAGGAATCCCAGGTACAGTCAAAAAGTCAAAATGAACACCGACTAATCCTAACATGCCTATAATACTGGACTATCCCAGTGATTCTGTGGTCTCCCCTGTTTGGGTGAGCTAAAATGAAAGGACCTACCACTGAAAATGAATGCCTTAAAAAAGATGCCTGTACTGTGTACTACTAGGAAAAGCACTGTTTATGTATAGTATATATGAAATTGTAGAACTATGGCACAGGCAATACAATCCATCCAGGTGGACGGGCACGAAAATGTGAAATGGATGGACTGAGAAAGCAAGGATTTTTAATAGAAACCCTAAAATCAACAAGCGCAAAAGAAGCCAAAGCTACTGGACTGGACTCCATCCATGATATCCAACAGACTGCCCAGGATATAATGAAATTTAGGACTATATTTTCGGCCCTATCTGGCATATGACAGCACAACATGATGATGATGACAGTAAATGTGAAGCTGTATTATTTGGTCCCTCAGTGGCAGACTCTTCTGTGTGGCTGCCTTTACTTAACTATTTATAAACTTATGCACGACTAGAGAGCAAAAATATATCCACATATTGTTGCAGCCACAGGTGTTGTTTCAATCTCTCACACCCCCAAAACTACACATTTCCCTAGGTTAAAATTTTATGGTATGCCATCTTGGGGTCAGCATAAAATATTTACTGAATATATGAGGTGGTGTTTCTTCACACATTAAAAACATCACACCAATGAAATACAATTATAGTCATTATTATTTATACAAACAATTAAATCAGCTGTATTCAGAAATAAACATTTACCTCAATGAACAACAAAAAATTACATATCTTTAGTACTATATTTAAGCATTACTATGAATTAAACGCTTTGAAATACCAAAGAAAATAATGGTAGGATCATATCAATCATGCAAACATACAAATATTGAAACATCACTTAAACACTAAGAATTTCCACCCAGCTTATAAAAAGGAAAACATCCGCTTTTGCTTTTGATTTCAATTTCGAAACGAGGAAAAGGGGGGGGGGGGGGGGGGGGGGGGTGTTTTAAAAACCGGCTTGCGATACAGCTCAGTAATATATCAGCCCGACGAATCTCGCATACGTAATAATTTCAGCCGGGACCCGACCAGCTAAACAATATCTATATTTAGTATACTAACGATAATTGACTACACGCACACACTACACCGATAGTCCGATATCAAGTATCTACATTACATCTCAACTTAATTGCGAAATTCGGAAGTTTTCTGTATACTTACGAACAATTATTAAACATGTTCATGCCATAACAATAAATTAATAAACAGATATTTTGTTTTAGGTACTCAATATAATCGAAACTGGAGGAATGTCTCCAGCAAAGCAATATCTATATTTAGTATATAAAACGATAATTTACTACACACACACACCGATTTCTATTTCTCAACTTAAACTGCAAAATTCCGAACTTTTCTGTACACTTAAAAACTACCCAAACAGAATTACGACCGCAAAAATAACAACAAACAAATAAACAAACGTTTGTTTAGAGGTACTTACAATATTTGCAGCTGGGGCGTGTCTCCGGTGGGCGACAAACGAAAGAGTTTGAAGAAGTTTTCAGCGACTTGTCAACGTCCTCCTCCTTGTCGAATTTCCATGGCTCAGTTTTACGTCCCAATCACAGAAATCATTTGGTTGGTTACTTCTGCTTATAGAGAATATACTCTCTACCCATAAACAGCGCTTTATTACCACATCAATAACTAGAAATACTTCCTTAAATATATGCTTGTCTGTCTTTTAAGCACCTGAATTAACTTTATATTAATTTGATGGATAAACTGTGTTAATACCTTGCGTATTTACGTGGTATTTATTGAAATAATTAAGTAAAATTTCTGATTTAATGGGACCGGAAATAACCGTTGCTGGGGTAACGGATACGCCGCCGTCTGTTTTCATTTCAGAGAAATTTTGGTAGAGGTCTACAGACAGGGGTTTGTTTTGGTTGTTGTGTTTTATTTTGTAGCGTGGTGGTTTGTTGATCAAGAGGCATCATGTCAGATGAAGATACAGACGTTGAAGGGGAACATAACTTTGATGATGCTGATGAAGTTCTTACCGATGTTAACGAGACAAAGATGTATCCCGATGCTTATGAAGGTTTCGAAGATGAGCAAGTTGAGGAAGAGGAAGAAGAGGTGAGTTATTAATGTATTCATTATCGTCTTATTAATCAATCATCGGTGACTCTGTGTTGTTACATGCAGATATCCTTCTGTTAGAAGAGTCATTATGAAATGTAATGAAAAATGTTTATAGTTTATAACTGATACATATAGAATGTGTGTGTTAGTGTGTACGCACACATGCAAGTTTGTGTGTGTAAACATTATATGCATGCAACGATTATATGTGTGTGTGACACTGTGTATGTGTTATAAAGATTTAAAAATTTTTCATTATAGTTCACAATCACTCTTTAAACAGAAGGATTGATTAAATAGACATATATATATATATATATATATATATATATATATATATATATATATATATATATATATATAAGAAGGGAGAGAGAGAGAGAGATAGAGAGAGGGAGGGGGAGCTTACTTGTAGGCCTTATAGTCCTCCATTTAATCATCATTAAGGTTTTATTTGACCTGGTCAATACATAAGTGTAAGTTATCAGGAAATGTTCTAGAAAGTATAGGCAGTCAGGGTGATACTGAGGGTAGGCACATATAAAAGTTTCATCATTAAAATACACCTTACAGTGTTTGATCCATATGCATGAAATATTATTGAAGAACCATAGTCTTTAGTTCAAGCCTTAATATTTTCTTCAGCTTGGAATTCAGATCTCTCTGTGTGGGTTCTGGGGTCCCCATTGTGGGGAAAACAAGAATATACCCACTGCCTCCCCAACAAGCATGTCGTAGGTTTCGACTTATTGGGGGCTTCCTTCAAGTCTGGAGTGCATGTGCCCTTGCAGCCAGGAACACAACCAACTGCACACAAATAAGTCAGTAAAACGGATGTACACAAAAAACTCAGGCCCTGTCACAAAGACAAAGTCCAGATGGACAAACAACCAGGACTTTCCACCACAGCTTACAGCCGGTGTATGAAGAAGAAGAAGACAAAACTCAGATCACTAGTTAAATGGATGGGATCTTTCTTTGATTGATCATCAGTGAAGACTGGGTGAAGATTGTCATTAATATGTTTATTTCACACACATGGTAAAAAGAAGTTTATGAAGAGATGCTGGCCTAATGCTTAAGCACACTAGGCTATCATGCTGGAGATCCAGATCGAAAACTTAGTAAGGTTGTAGGTTTTTTTCTGTCAGGGGTAAAAATTAAATTCTTACCTGCACAGTCATGTCGACCTCACTAGCCACTGTCATTGTTTTAGCTTATATCACCAAGACATGCAAAGTCTGGATTTAGCATACTGTGCAGATGAAATAATCTTGGTTCAGCTGACAAAAAAGGCGACTACCAGCAGGCTGTTGAGAACCTTAAGCACGGCAAGGCACCAAAGAAGCTCTGGTCATCCACTGCACCTGAGTCCATCTCCAGACGTCTTGATTCGTGTTGCCACTGGACTTAGATAGACTTGGGCGAGAGAATGAGGTCGATGAATTGCGCAACTCTTCCTCACTTAAATCAAAATCACAGCGCAAGTCCTCCTTTCATCCATCCATCCCTCAGCAATCACCAAGGCCAATTGCAGAAACTCTTCCACTGTGAGGATTCTAACTCAAAACGTTCAGACTTTCTTCATCATAATCATAGTTTCATTTGTAATAAATGGTTTGCTGACACAGTTAAATGTATTTGGACTGGTAAATTGTGTCACAAGAACTAACTTAGGTTGACAAAAGACTGCATACATAATACCATAGAAAAACAAAGCTGCAAAGTCCAAGCCATCATAAACATGTCTTAACTCTTTGAGTCCCAAGGAACGCATTATACGTTCATAGGTTCCTACCTAGAAGCCCAATGAAGCCATGATGCGCCGATTTTATGACTTTCTTTACTACCCCCTGGGCCTGTGATGATAAACCCCCTGGGACTGAAAGAGTGAAAGAGACTTGGTATTAGTTGTCTACGGGCTTACACTCCATTAAGAAATTAAAGATTAAAGATGAAGAAGAAGCAACAATAAAAGAGAGTGAAAAAGATGAGGAAATAGATGAAATTGCGAAAAAAGAAGAGGAATAGTTCAAATGGAAAAAGAAGAGGGAATAGATAAAATGGAAAAAAGAAGAGGGAATAGATAAAATGGAAAAAGAAGAGGATAAAATGGAAAAAGAAAAATAGATAAAATGGAAAAAGAAGAGGGAATAGATACAATGGAAAAAAAAAGAGGGAATAGATAAAATGGAAAAAGAAGAGGGAATAGATAAAATGGAAAAAGAAGAGGGAATAGATAAAATGGAAAAAGAAGAGGGAATAGATAAAATGGAAAAAGAAGAGGGAATAGATAAAATGGAAAAAGAAGAGGGAATAGATAAAATGGAAAAAGAAGAGGGAATATATTAAATGGAAAAAGAAGAGGGAATAGATAAAATGGAAAAAGAAGAGGGAATAGATAAAATGGAAAAAGAAGAGGGAATAGATAAAATGGATAAAGAAGAGGGAATAGATAAAATGGAAAAAGAAGAGGGAATAGATAAAATGGAAAAAGAAGAGGGAATAGATAAAATGGAAAAAGAAGAGGGAATAGATAAAATGGAAAAAGAAGGATCAAGAAAATGGCAGATGACATACTGTAAATATGTTCAACAACAACAACCCAGAAATGGTGAAAAACATTAGATCTGTTATTTCTTAATCTACTGCATTTACCCAAAAAAGGTTGGCATGTTGTGGTTTACAGCTAGGCTGCAATATCTGTGCCTTTCGGCCTTGCACGTCTTATTTCAGCAAACCCTGCATTACTTATTGGGAGCTACGGAGATGGTGCTGTGTGCGACACTCTCTGCAGGCAGCTAGCTCTTCTGTGGTGAGAGACTGAGCTAAATGGGATGAAACCTGGTGCAATAAAGTTGATCCTGTCACATTTACTTTTACCCTAATTATTCGCCTTTTATGACTTGCTTGGGAGTCCCCGTGGCCGAGAGGCTAGACTCTCGCAGCGGATCGGAAGGTCGTGGGTTCGCTCCCTGGCGGAGCCGGACTATTTTCAAAATGACCTTGGCTCCCAGGTCGACCCAGCCTTGAGTGGGTACCAAGTGCAGTCCCGGGAAGTAAAGGCGGCCAGCGTGATGCTGACCACATCACCCATCTTGTGCCGATTGGTCTATAAAAATAGAGGTCTAGCCCTATATGCCGTATACGCCTAAAGGCGTGGAAAAAGGTCCTTTACTCTTTTTTGTTAATGACTTGCTTCTTTACAGGGGTGAGGGTGGTGGTTCTTTTTTTTCTGCCAAAAATCAGGCTCAGAGGAAGAATAAGAAAATATCTAACAAAGCTTCATTCTAACACAGTTTTCTGTCCTTGTTTTGAACACTTACCAGCACATCATACCAAATCCATTAACACTCGAAATGATTGCTGAGGGGATATCACTCCTATGCAAGACTGGAGATGGTCTCTCGCATGCTTACGTGAGGCTGGATGTCCATGATAGGTAAGTTCATGTGTCTGCTACAACACTTATGTTTGAAGTACATTTTGTCAGGGGAGCGGCCGTGGTGTATCAGCTAGAGGCTTACATGGGGATCGGAAGGTGATGGATTCAGGTCATGAGAGAGCTGGACTTTTTAAAAAAAAATGACCTTGGCCCAGCTTTAAATAGTTACCAGGTACAAGTCATGGGAAGTAAAGGTGGCTGGCGTAATGTTGACCACATCACCCACAGAGTGCCTATATGTCTGTCTGTAAAATGTAGGTCTAGCTCTGTCTGCCCAATACACCTGAAGGACCCTTTACTTACTTTTTTTTTTACTTACTTGTTTGACACTGCATTTGTACCAGCCCCTTTAGGCAGAGGAATGGGTCAAGGATGATGATAACCTCATCATAGTTTGAGAAAATGCAGCCTGAAAATTTAATGTTATGACATGATAGACCAGATTCACAGCATTGGTTGGCTGAGAAGTGGATGAACAAGCAGAACTTTATGCCAGAGTTTACAGCTGGTTAATGCAAAGATGAAGAAGTAAGTCATTATTTAATTTTTTTATATATACAACCAATTGTCTCCTCAGAGATGTAACAGATATTGACATGCTCCAGTCGTACATCCATCTGCGCTATGTAGACATCAGCAAAAACATGTTGCGAGACATCTCACCGTTGAATGCCCTGACACATCTGCTGACTCTGAAAGCTGATGAAAACCTGTTAACATCAGCAAAGCTGGAGGACATGCCTTACCTTCAAGTAAGTTTCCATTTGTTTCCCATTCCTGTGTCTGTTTAGTGATTCTCTGTCTACTTTTTTCCTGATGTGTCCAATCAATATATTGCCATTGATGTATATTCTGAGGAGAGGCTGGCCAAGTGATAGTCTCTCATGAGAGAGGCCCTAGTTGTCCAAGCACCGCCCCCCCTTTTTCCCTGAAGATGATGGAAGGTTTTCTGTTGGGGGCAGAAATAAACATCCTGAACTGCACAGTTAGTGGTGACAGCACTAGCCATGTGGCCTCAAGTCCTCAGATTCATGACCTCCTCCCCCCCCCCCCCCCCCCCCACCCTCCTGCGCGCTTTCTGTCTGTCTCCACCGCCCTCAGAAGTGGTAAATACAGACAGTGCTGACAGTTTGTTTCAGATATATATGCACAATCTGAACATCTAGGAAGACTGGCTAATAAATAGCATCTTGTCTCAGAAACTGAAATATATTGGCCATATCCAGCGGTACAGTGGACCAAAATAAATGACAGCTGAAAGCATGGTGCAAGAAGGAGGGGCAGGGACCGACCAGCACAAAGTGGGTACAAGATATAAGTTACACCTTGAATGCACAAGGCGGAAGAGCTGACAGGAGACCAAGTATTTTCTTTTTGGCAGACCATGATGAGAGGAATGTTCTGCAAAAGACCTGCTACATAATGATGGCGTATCAGCAGATAGTAATTTGTTTGGAGTCCTAATGAATTTAACATATTCATCATACTTTATGTTTCAGGTGGCCAGTTTTAACAACAACAGAATAGTGACCACTGAAGGAATCGGCCACCCAATGCTAGAACAACTTAGCTTGAACAGTGAGTTCTTTATAAATATTTTTGGCTATCCTCTGAATAACCAAATTATCGAGGCCGAAAATATACCCAAACAGGGCCTTTGAGATGCAGTTTGGGATTTTCCCTTTCATCAAATTTGAGACTAGGATGGCATTTCTCAAAGTCTTTATCTACATTCTGGAGGGCGATAAAGAAATAGATTCTAAAAAATGGCTTTGCAATTAAAAATAGTCAAGAACCATTGGTCTAGGAATATATTTGTTAATTTTTAGGTTAACTTTAAACATCAACATCTGAATTACTGTCATTTTTCTAACATAAAATATCTCAAATACTTATCAAATTTCTTCAGGTAATAGATGCACTTATTTTCCAAAATAATAGGGTCTACAAATATTCTGCCTCTTATTCAGTGGTAGTATCATAGTATATTTTCTAAAATTATAGGGTCTAAAAACATTGTGCCTCTTATTCAGTGGTAGTATCATTGTATATTTTCCAAAATTATAGGGTCTTAAAACATTATGCCTCTTATTCAGTGGTATCATAGTATATTTTCCAAAATTAACAGGTCTAAAAACATTGTGCCTCTCATTCAATGGTAGTATCATATTATATTTCTCAAAATTTTCGGCCCCAAAATCAAGGTCTTGTACATAGGAGTGTCTTATACTTGAGGAAATACAGTAATTTCATACTGTAATATGCTAGATTCATTCACCTGTTTATATATAATTTTATATAATGTTGACCGTCTCAGACAATTTTGAGCGTTTTACTTTTTTTCTGCAGACAACAAAATTAAAGAGATAATCGGCCTGGATGCCAGTAAACTGACTCGACTTCACACGCTGGAGCTTCGAGGAAATAGACTGGTCACCACAGATGGCATCTATTTGCCAAAACTACAGAACTTGTACCTGGTAGGTAGGCCATTCGTTCTTCTTCTTCTGCCTTTTATCTCTCTAGGGCAGTGGCTCTCAACTTATTAGCCGGGACCCTTTTTGGGTTGAACTGATATACGCAGTTGTGGATCACAGATTGTGAAGTGGCATGATCGCCCAAGCCAGTTGGCAAGGCACTTGATGATGAGAGCATAGTAGCTATGGCAACCCTGCTCAACGGCACTGCTGTCACAGGGAGAAATCTCAACCTGCTGTGAGTACTTTGCACAAACAAATTATGGTTGGCCTGTTAGTGAAAAACTATGTGACAGCCTGCAATGTGGTTTTAACTTTGGTCGATGAGAACGTACTGGACAGATAAAAAGAGTAATGCTGATGTAATTCACTGTAGGATCACCTCTGTCAGAACTGACTGAAAGTACTATAGGAAGACACCATTGGTTTCTGAGGATGTTCTAAGGTAACTTCTAAAAATTAACTTAAAAAGAAATGTATAAAAATATCAAATTTCTAATTCACAGAAGAGCATGTTTCTGTTTCATAGATCTATGTCTATATAAATATATATACATAAATATGTAAGTAAAGGACCCTTTTCAACACCTTTAGGTGTATTGGAAATATAAAGCTAGACCTATATTTTATAGACTAGTCGGCACTCTGTGGCTGATGCGATCAGTATCGCGCCCGCCAAATCTACTTCCTAGGGCTCCATCTGATAACCACTTAAGGCTGGGTAATCCTGGGAGCCAATGTTTTAAACAAAAAATATGTTACTGCCAGGACCTCCTGAACCCACGACCTTCCAATTTGCAGGCGAGTGTCTAGCCACTACACCACAACGGCTCCCCCACAACCCCCCCCCCCCCTCCTTTCCCCAATATAAATATAAAATAGTTAACTTTTAAATATCAAGTGCAATATTTGATTGTCCACAGGCTCAAAATTTGATAAACAGAATCGAGGGAATGTCCAGACTGCCTGGTCTCACCACCATCCATCTGCGAGGAAATCAGATTACAAATCTCTTAGGATTCTCAGAGACACAGAAAGTTTTACAGTATATTAACCTGAGGTACGTCCAGTCCACTATAACAGGATCTATTAGAGGAATGTTCAATCCGCTACCCTAAGAGCAGTCACAGGCGTGTTTAACCCGCTACCCCACAATCAATGAAGGGTGTCGAAAATAATTTCCCTAGGATCAGTGAGGGGTATGTTCAATCTACCACTTCAGGATCAAGGAGGGATTTGTTTAATCCGCTATCAAAGGATCAGTTAGAGGATGTCCAATCAACTACCCCAGGATCAAGGAGGGGTATATACAATCCACTTCTCCAGGACCATTTAGAGCAGTGGTTCTCAACCTGTGGGTCGCAACCTGTTTTTTTTTTTGGGGGGGGGGGGGGTCGAACAACCCTTTCATTGGGTCGCCAAAGACCATTGCAAAACAAACATTAGTTGAAGTTATGAAGTAGCACCGAAAATAATTGTATAGTTGCGGGGAGGGGGAGTTGCCACAACATGAAGAACAATATTAAAGGGTCAAAAGGGTCACAGCATTAGGAAGCTTGAGAACCAGTGAATTAGAGGGGTATTCAATTCACTATTCTAGTGTCAAGGAGTAACAACCTTTGAGGTGTTTATTATGTAAAATGTCCAAAGCATAACATATTACTAAATAATAATTAACAGTCAATTAAAAGTCTCTGTGAAGAATTAACCAAGCCATTTGCCTTGTGCTCTGAGGACTCTGCATTCAGTTTCTATGTCCTTTGGTTGACGAGTGCAGGTGTTTTAGAGATTCCGAGGAATTGTTGGAGCTTTGGAGTTTGTGCTTCACATATCTATACTTCACATGGAAAATCGAGTCTTTTTAAGATGAATGTGAGTGTTTTGTGAAGTGGCGAACCACCAAAGACAGTGAAGTGCATACAGGATTTATGTCTCAGAAAAAAATGTAGTCTAATGTATTCTTCTTGTTCAGCATTCCGAGCCCTTGAGGTTCATTGCTGCAGATATCACCCGCCTCCATTCATCTCTCTGGTTGGCCTTCTCTTTCCAGTTGGTGACACCAAGTGTTTGCAGGTCTCTCTGGACATTATCTCTCCATCGTCTTCTTGGTCTGCCTTGTGGTTCACGACCATTCATCTCTCTTGTGTATAGTTTTTACCTCTCTTTCATCTGACATTCTCTCAATATGTCCCAGCCATTTCAACCTATTAGCTCTCATGATGCTAATGATCAATGGTGATTTAAACAGATTATGAATTTCATTGCTGTTTCTCACTCTCCATTCCCCACTGCTTACATCTTTCATAGGTCCAAAGATTCAACGTAAGACTGTTTTCCAGAACCTGTAATGAACCTTCATCTCTTTTAGTTATGCTCCAAGTTTCAGAGCCATATAAAATGACTGATCTTAACGTTTTTATATATTTTAATCTTGGTGTTGCGAGACAGAGACTTTGACTTGAGCAGATGTTGTAGGGTAGTCTAATGTATAGTACTCATAAATGTGTGGTTACCTTTACAGGGAAAATCTGGTGTCTACCGTGAAGGAGTCTTCTAAACTCAGCGTGCTGCCAGTTCTCAGAGCCTTAGTGCTGGCAGGTATGTTCCGTGTATCATTTTTAATTTAGTTCGACTTTACCCTCCCCAAACTGTCCTTACTCTTTCAGTTAAGCTTGGGCTGATGCCCAGGGGAGCTAATATTGACAGCACCAAACTCATGTGTGTTCTACCTCCACAGGATCCAAATACACAATCCTTGAAAGAAGCAAATGTATAAGGAACTTTCAGTGAAGCCCATTCCAATGGCTTTATTATAAAAGCATGAAAAAAAAACATCATTAGATGTGGCAGAATTTAAGCATTCATTTTGAATTAATTATGTTCCATGGATTGGTCAGAAAAAGTCATAAGGATACAAGCACAAATCCTACTGCTTAGGTAGGCGGTGACTTTTGTCCACAAAAAGGGACCGTGGCTGCTTACTGAACCAAACGTTTACGATCTTTATTATGTTGTAATCCGTGACAACTGTTTTTTTTTTTTAAATTACAATGGAAAAGCATTGTTTTAAACATAAAATGTTAAAGATGACAGGATCAACTTCACTGTACCGAGGTTTGATCCAATATTGCTTGGTCTATATCCACAGAATAGCTTGCCACTGCCAAGAGCATTGCATAAAGCATGATCTCTGTTGCTCCGGTGATAATCCCCATTGTACTCCATAAAAACTGCATTCATAAATGGAAAGACAATATTTGTGAAATCAACTCATGACATTTAACTCTTTGAGTCTCAGGGGGTTTAGCACCACAGGCCCAAGGGGTAGTCAGGAGAGACGTAAAATCGGTGCATCTTGCGTTTATTGGGCTTCTAAGTAGGAATCTATGAATGTATGATGCGTTCCTTGGAACTTAAAGAGTTAAAGCAAGAGGCAAATGACTTGACCATTTCACAGTGGAGAGCCTTAAAAAAACATGCAGTGAAAATACCTACATTACATAAATAATTGTTGGCACAAAGTCTATCCAGTCACATCTTGTGCTGAGTGAGTCGCAAAGAATTCAGCAACAGAAAAGACTGCAATAAATAGCCGCTCAACAGGGGTTACTGTGACAACATATAGGGGTACCCACTTTTACCCTGCAAAGATCGTAACAAGCAATTAATTTTTAAAAAAAATTTTTAATTTGATGTGTTGGACCGAAAGGGGCAGATACCAACTTTTATCCTAAGCATGTCGTCAAAAGTGACTAATTAAAAACTGACTAAAATTTGATGTGTGTTAGATCAAAAGGGACATATATCGCAGACTAGCTGTAAACCACAACATGTGCTAACCACCCTTTTAAGGGTGAAAGCGAAAGGACCAGAGGTGACCCAGTAACAAAACCATTTTTACACATTGATGATTACTGAGCATTTAATCATCATGTGCCCTGCAGATAAATCTAGGCAGTCTTGTTTTGCCAGCTCACATGATCACTAGAACCAAAGATCAGATTAGTTCTCTTGCCTTGCCCCATCCATGTGGCCAGGTTATCCAAGTAATTTATTTCTGTGCCTTCCATTTGCTCTTTTCCCATCTATCCTGCTATTTGTTACTTTATTTGATACTAGCTCCCATAAAGATTATAAACAAGTACTCGAGTGGTGATGTGGTCAGTATTATACCAGCCACCTTTACTCTCCAAAATATTGTTTCACTTTTTATCTTTGGCTGTCCTAATCTAAAAATCCTGGCCAGTTTAATCCGTCTTTATATCTTTCCAATCCTTGTGTGGGTTCCGTGGTCCCACTGTGGGTTGGAGATGGGAGGAGTGGGGTAACAGACCCACTGTATCCCTAACAAGCAAGTCATGCAGGTCGACTAATTGGGGAACTTTTTGAAGTCGGAGTGCATCTGTCTGAGAAACAAGGAACCAGCAGTTAGGGTACAAATAAACCAGATCTGTAAAAACGGATGTGCATGCAAAACTCAAGTTCTGGAAAAAGACTAAAGTCCTGAAGTGAACTAACAACCAGAACTTTCCACCAGAGTTTACAGCTGGTGAACACAAAGAAGATATTGAATAGTTCCTATTGTTTTATGTAGTAATTTGTTTTTGGAGCACTGCTCATTTGATCCAACAGCTTCTGCAGCTTACTTGTTTCCAAACATTTGGTTTCTCTTTCCTTTGAAGTCAACAAAACAGGCAGAGAGAGGGATCATGCTAAAAAGGCAATACATGGTCTCTGTTGCTTTTTTATTGGCCCTGACAGATAAGTGCACGTAGTGGTGGTTACTAGCCTGCAATATCTGCACTTTTCAACCCAATACATTAGTTTTCAGCAGACATCTAATAAGTTGCCTTTCATAACATGCATGTTGGGTGCAGTGGACCTGTTCTGCTGCCCCCCCCCCCCCCCACCAAAAGGGCCCTGGAACCCTTACACAGAGAGTTGGTACTATGGAGAGGAAGAATCTCATCCCTGGTTCTAATTGGTATCATCATGAGCTACGTTTCCCATGCTCGCTTTCGTGTGCTGGAACATTATAGGTTAGTGGCGTATCCTTTACAGGACGTTGCAGAACCAACCCCAGCAGCCCCTGGTTGTTGTGTGGTTTCTCTAGGCAAATTTACATCCAGTAGTTTGCCATGTCTTTCTGGACGGTAGGCTCCCTGATACTACTGTCGAAACCAACCCAAAGCGCATGTCCTACAGCTGGGATTGAACCCAGCACCCCGGCATTACAAAGCGTTCGCATCGACTTAGCCACAGAGCCGACGTTGGAACATTATCATCTTGAAAAACAGAAAAGTGCTAACAAAGTTTTTATTGCCGACATTTTTTTTGTATTATGTGGCAGCTGTTTTAAATACTTGCTGTTTTAAATATAATATGATTGATAAAACTTTTATTCACAGAAAATCCATGTGCGGAGCAGGAGGACTACAGATTGGAGACATTAATTGGTATCCGAACCCTTGAGAGACTGGACAAAGAAGAATATACAGAGGAAGAAAGGGCTGAAGCCGAGGCTATCGCAGAGAGGAGAAGGAAGGAAGAAGAAGATAAGGCTGTAAGTTTTGTAATTTAGTATCTTTTTAGGGATAAGAGTGAAGTATTTTTGGGTCACATGAGTATTTAATTACAAAGGCAAATATAAGCTAGATATGGCTCGGACATGGTTGCAGAATGCCTCCTGGCACACTGTGACAAGGATAGCTCTCCGGTGAACAACAGATGGTAAAAGGAGATGTAACGACATAGGGAAACCTGTCGAAGGACACAAGGCTATCAGCTATCAGATTGGGTCCCAGCTTCATTGTGAACAGGTCACTCGTTATTAAGTATAAAACCATACAAAATGCCCATCAGTCCCAGGTGAAAAGTAAAAAAGGCAGCAGTCCCGGCAGAATACATCAGCTTGCACATGCAAACGACAGCCACTAGAGGTGCTAACGCCCACACGTTATCACTAGAAATGCTAATCATAGTTGACAGATGCCAGTCATGACAAACCAGCAGATGCACAAGTATTATTGGCGTACAGCCAATTCTGTGGCAATCAGCGGTGTCTCCCTGTGTGTTTTCCATTTTGAGGATAAAACAGAATGGAACAACAGCCCTATTACAAATTTGTTATAAAAAGGCAACTAATTAGGAGTTTGTTTAAATCAGATATACTGGGCTGAAGGCGCAGATATTGCAACAATAATACAACTGTCTACTGATAACAATCATGTAGTTAAACTATGAATTTGTTGCAGCTGAGTATGTTGGGCTGAAAGGCGTAGATGTTGCACCAGCAACACAACTGTCAACTACTTTAAACAGCTAATACAGAGGATTGAAGACTAGCAACTTTATAAGACGGCAAACTGAAGTTTAAACAATAGATCAACCTCATGGCACATGGGTAGTGACCCATAAGTGCTCCGTTCTTTCTTCTAACTCAAGTCTGTGTCCGAAGAATCTCAGCACAGTGCACAGGCTCTATAGCACCGGCGAGGATCCTGAAATACTTTACGTTGATTTTTAACTCAAAAGTTTGCTAGGGCAGTGCTGTTAGGCTACTCTTTTCGATTTCCAACTGTCAAGTGATTTTTTACGTGCGCAACAATGCACATGGGCATCTAATCTCACTACCCATAGACCAGGGGGAAATACTAGAAGTCAATGTGAAAAAAATCCCAGCCCTTACTAGGGATTGAACTTGGAACCTCTAGCACTCAAGGCAGACACCATGCCTTGAGACCATGCAGCCCCCTAACGGCAAACTTTGATTGCCTACATATATCAGCATGGTGCACGATCACGAAAATGATTTATTATTTTGTATTACTTTGGGTTTGACACTCAAAGCTGAACTTTGGTAAAATGTTTACATACATATGTGTACATTAAAAGTATATGTGTGTACTGAATGATTCTATGAGCATGATCTAGCAGGTCACGGCAGGCTTCGTACGCAGACAATGGATTGAGTCAGTGCAAAAGTGCACCGTGTGTGAAGTTAGCATCTTTGTCCCAGGGAATGCGGGTGATGTTGGCAATGAAAGAGCTGACAGATTGGTTCAACTAAGAATTCTATAATATACTCGGCTGAAAGTACAGATACTGCGGCAGCAACACAGCTGATAACAAGCATTCACTTAAGCTAAGTAGGAATTTGTTGAAGTTGGATGCCCAGACAGTAGAGTTAGCTTTCTTCTCCCCGGGTATGCGGGTGCTGTTGGCAAGGAAAGACCTGATAGCCTGGCTAAACAGGCTCTGAAATAGTTGCAGATGGAAAGCCTAAGGATTGTACCAAATTGTTAATCCATATAGAAAGAACAATTTTGGGGACAGCACATCCACACTGCTGCTAAGAATTCAAGAACTGGGAGTAAAGATCAGCACAGCCAGGCACAAGAGGTTACACCAGAAATACAAGAAGTCTTCTTGTCAACCAGCATAGGACTAGCACAGTTAACCTTCGGATGCTGATGTTTAAATTGAGGGGATAACCTAAGAATTTATAAAGATTTCTAAAGTGCGGTAAAGATAACCCAACTCAGAACTTTGTGGAAAAACTATTATGTTACAACCACGGACTGAATTCTAAAGCCTAATGTTAGTGATTATAGCAGAAGGCATGGTAAAGGGAAGGAGAGGCGGGGGCTGACCGACACGAAGATGGGCACAGGATATAAGTGACTCCTTGAGTGTGAAAGTACATGAGGCGGGAGAACTGATGAGACGCTACTTCACTGAATAAAATATTATATTATTCCATTATATAAGACGATACGTTTCCCCACAAATTGTGAGTTTAAAATTGGGACTATCTCATACACAGAATGTGATTAATTTAAAATATTTATTTCTTAATTTTGGGCAACAAAGGTGGGGGGAGGGGGGCATCTTATACATGTAAGAATATGGTAGGTTCTGTATTAACAATTTTACACCCTCTGGCAGACACTGGAAGCTCAGATACTCTCTGAGATAGAAATAACAGAGCAGGCGATTCTAGAAGCAGAAACAGAAGCCGAAAGCTACATTGAGGTTATTTCGGACATTCACTTTGATCTCTTGGAGAGATTGTGTTTTGTTCCATTTTTTTTTATTGTTTGCTGTGTTTCATGTTTTAAGTTCAAGTTTTGCTGCAAAGGTGTTCCAATGTAGAAACAGACATTTATTTAATAATTCAGGAGCTGTGGCGGTGTTGTGGATAGATGCTCATCGGTCTGAGAGTTTATGGTTCGAATCGGCATTGAAGCGGATTTTTTCATAACCGATCGTGACTCCTAAACAAGAGGTTGCTCGGCAACAGGGCTATTCAACTTGCGAAAGCCTAGCAAGTGGCCGTAAATCATTGCCAGTTGTATTTTTTTCATGATCCCTCGTGTGGGTTCCAGGGCCCTCTTATAGAGAAAACAAGAATAGACCCACTTCCTACCCAAAAGCATGTTGTAAGAGTCGACTAACTGGGAGCTTCTTTCGACGGCGGAGTGCATCTGCCTGAAAGGCAAGGAACCAACAGTCTGCATACAGATGTGTCAGATCTGTCAAACTGATGCACATGCAACACTAAGGTTCTGGAACAGGACTGCAGTCCAGAAGTGGACACACAATCAGAACTTTCCACCAGAGTTTACAGCTGGTGAACGCAAAGAAGAAGTATTCATGATCTTTCTGGGATTTGGGACTTGGGCCTCTGGCCTGTGACAATCCCCATTGTCAACCTTTTAGCCCTTAGAATAAACTTTCTTAAAAATCCCTGTTCTATCGGAAGATGGACTGATGACATTAAAAAATTTCTACATTGAAATGGAAAGATGTTAGCCACTGCTACCCATAGAGCAAGAGATCACAAACTGCTTATCCACATGACACCTAAGAACAGAAGTGAAAACCGATGTAGATTATGGCTCCCAGTCTAAAATGAGTACCAGGTAATGTCCTGGGAAGTAAAGGTGGCCGGCGTGATGCTGACCACATCACTCACAAGGAGCCAGCCAGTGGGTGTTAAAAATAATATGAAACTCATATCATATGTGTGATGCACCACAGGTAGTCACTCTGTACCATAGCCACTGTGCTACCACAGTCATTGCTACTGTAACCACTGTGATAGCACAGCCACTGTGCTACTAAAATCTCTATGTTATCATAGCTGCTGTCTTATCATAGCCACAATGCTACCACAGCCAATGTGCTACCATAGCCATAATGCTGCCACAGACACTGTGCTAACACAGTCACAGACACAGGCTACCACAGCCCCTCTGCTACCACAACCACTGTGCTGCCATAGCCACTCTGTTGCCAGAGACACCACTGTGCTACCATAGCCACTGTGCTACCACAGACACTCTGCTGCCACAGCCATTCTGCTGCCACAGACACTGTGCTACCACAAACCTATACCACCATAACCACTGTGCTACCACAACTACTGTGCTACCATAGCCACTATACCACTCATTGTGCTACCATAGCCACTCTGCTGCCACAGACACTCTGCTACCATAGCCACTCTGTTGCCACAGACACTCTGCTACCATAGCCACTATAACCACAACCGCTGTGCTACCATAACCACTATACCACCATAACCACTGTGCTACCACAACTACTGTGCTACCATAGCCACTATACCACTCATTGTGCTACCATAGCCACTCTGCTGCCACAGACACTCTGCTACCATAGCCACTCTGTTGCCACAGACACTCTGCTACCATAGCCACTATAACCACTGTGCTACCACAACCGCTGTGCTACCATAACCACTATACCACCATAACCACTGTGCTACCATAGCCACTAAACTACTACAACCACTGTTACCACAGCCACTGTGCTACCACAGCCACTATACCAACACAGCCACTGTGCTACCATAGCCACTCTGCTCCCATAACCATTGTGCTACCATAGCCACTAACCTACCACAACCACTGTACCACCACAGCTACCATATCCACTATGCTATCATAGCTGCTGTGTTACCTACCAGAGCCACTATACTTCTCTCTAGCCTTTATTATACTCAAGCATCCAAAACAAAAAGTCAAAATAACACAAAATAATATTTCTGTACCCTTAAGTTACAAATTTGTTGGCACCTTTCCGGATGACAGTGTTCCACTGTGCTATAAGAAGGCATAGGAATCAGAGCCCATAACAATACCACTTAAGGCAAGGGATGAAGTCCTCATCTCCATACTGCCAAAAACCTAAGCAGTATTGTAGATCGCAGCACGATCCTTCTCTCAGCCTGAATTTTTTGTTTCGTTGTTTAAATCCAAAGGAAAGGTAACACCACTATGTTTGAAACAAAGCATGCTGCAGAAGAGCAGTGTTCTGTCTGCCCGCCTGTCTGACCACCCTTAGATCAAATGCCAACAAAAGCTACTGGCTTGATCTGCATCTTAGGATAAGATAGTAGTAGATTTTTAACCCACCAGGACATCACACAAGCGATAAACACCCGATGACACAAAGTGCCACCATGTGTATGAGGATCACCGTGGAGAGGTCCCAGAAACCGCATTCAGCCATTAGACCATATATATGGTTGGGCTATATTGCGGCCCCTGGCAAGAGCCAGAGTAGGGCTTCAAATAACAAAAAATTGTGTCTCACAAGCAGATGACCAGATTGAATGCATCTGAATAGCTAAGACAAGTGTCCACTTCAGCGCTCTATACCACCCAAACGTTGTTGGCACAAGTGGGTTTCAGGTCTGGCATAGGCTGCCAGTAAGAAGATATAATTAGGTCATTTGTAAAAGCAACACCAAGCACTGTCATGGCATGATGCCCTGCTGACCTAATTTTTCACCACCCCAGATGTAATTCATTCAGCAGTGTAAAAATGGGCCATGCACTGTATCAACATATTCATTTATATCTTTTTTCTCTTTTTCATGACCTCCTCTTTTACAGCTTTGGGTGTCAAGGAAGACAGAAGGTTCTGCTTCCAGCTCTTCTTGTTGCCCACTTTGATCATACATATATCATGCTGTCTTTCTTATGTAGTCTTTCTCTGATGTTATCTTTCCACTTTCTTCTTGGTCTTCCCCATGTAGGGGCCCCATTGTGGGGGAAAACAAGAAAAGACCCACTGTCTCTCCAACACGCATATTGTATGGGTCAACAAACTGGGGAGACGCAGCTTCCTTTGAAGTCGGAGTGAGTCTGCATAGGAGGCCAAGAACCAACAATTTGTATACAAATAAGTCAGATATGTAAAACAGATGTGCATGCCACACTCTGGTTCCGGACTAGAGCTAAAGTCCAGAGATGGATGAACAACCGGTACTTTCCACCCAGTTATAGCTGGTGAACGTGAAAAAGTTCTTGGTCAACCTGGTGCTCTAGTCCCTCTCTTCTTTATTTGTTTACTGACAAATTTTTGCATTGTTCTTACAGGATGAAGAAGAAGCCACCATTGAAAACATTTAACAGGAGAACAACAAATGTTTGTTTACTAGCAAAAAGACAACACCAGTGCTTTCAGCCCTAAACAACACCAGATGTGTTAATGAATCGACAACTTGATTTCCCTCCACAGCATACTGTGCTCTCTTAGTTTTTTGTTGTTGGTCGGAACACATTAAAGAAATCTGGTTCCACAAATGATCATTACCACTGTAAATATTGCCACTTTGAAAGTAATACATACACAATTTTTCATCATGGTTATTTCTTTCCTTTTGGAATCTGTCAAATCTGTTATCAAAAAGTTAACATACAAGACAACAGTGTAAACATGGGAAGGGGAAAAAGGGGGGGGGGGGGGGGGGTGTTAAAAGACAAGGATGACTGTGAGCACATGCTCCAAACTAGGACAGCAAACAAATTAACATGTACAGTGGTACCTCGAGTCATGAATTTAATTTGTTCTTTTGACTACGTTCGTGAACCGAAACGTTCACCAGCCAAAACAATTAACCGATCATAATCAATGCAAATCAAATTATTCCATCGCCCGCCCCAGAAACATTTTTAAAAAAATGGATTTACATGTAACAAAAATGTATAATATGAAATATAGAGCATAACTTTACTTTATGGTTGACAGCTGCTGGCACAGACGGAACAAACGAAAAAACATTTTCAGCGGGTCACAAATTGGGCACGCAAGCCCATTTTAGGTTCAAATTTTCCAAGCATTAATTTTTCATTTGCAATTGTATTTTATATAACAAGCAAATTCTGTTCATAAATCAAAATTCATAGTATAAACATAAAGTTTTTAAAAAAAAGGGTAGAGGAAGAAGACCACTCCTTCGAAGGATAGTCCCATTTCATGATAATGTCGAGCAACTGTGTATGTAATTCCCGTATTTTTTTGTTTGTTTCCCGGTAAGTGGTTCAACTGCTTGTTTGGTAGCTAAACATAATTTTTCTAAATCTTCTAACGAGGCTCTTGCTTCGTTAAACAGTCACTCTTTTAGCGCCATCAGCCATCTTTAGCTCATCATTCTTTAAGATAAATACAGATTATAGATCAAACCATGTCTTATTGCTTGGCGAGATTTGAAACACAAACAGCATTCTCACATTCAGTTATCATTTCTGTCTTCATTTCTGCTGTCTTCTTCTTCTTCTACTTCGTGTGTCTTCTTCTTCTTCTACCTCGTGTGTCTTTTTCTTCTACTTCGTGTGTCTTCTTCTTCTTCTACTTCGTGTGTCTTCTTCTTCTTCTACCTCGTGTGTCTTTTTCTTCTACTTCGTGTGTCTTCTTCTTCTTCTACTTCGTGTGTCTTCTTCTTCTACTTCGTGTGTCTTCTTCTTCTACTTCGTGTGTCTTCTTCTTCTACTTCGTGTGTCTTCTTCTTCTACTTCGTGTGTCTTCTTCTTCTACTTCGTGTGTCTTCTTCTTCTACTTCTACTTCGTGTGTCTTCTTCTTCTTCTTCTACTTCGTGTGTCTTCTTCTTCTACTTCGTGTGTCTTCTTCTTCTACTTCGTGTGTCTTCTTCTACTTCGTGTGTCTTCTTCTTCTACTTCGTGTGTCTTCTTCTACTTCGTGTGTCTTCTTCTTCTACTTCGTGTGTCTTCTTCTACTTCGTGTGTCTTCTTCTTCTACTTCGTGTGTCTTCTTCTACTTCGTGTGTCTTCTTCTACTTCGTGTGTCTTCTTCTTCTACTTCGTGTGTCTTCTTCTTCTACTTCGTGTGTCTTCTTCTTCTTCTACTTCGTGTGTCTTCTTCTACTTCGTGTGTCTTCTTCTACTTCGTGTGTCTTCTTCTTCTACTTCGTGTGTCTTCTTCTACTTCGTGTGTCTTCTTCTTCTTCGTGTGTCTTCTTCTACTTCGTGTGTCTTCTTCTACTTCGTGTGTCTTCTTCTTCTTCTTCGTGTTCATTAGCTGTAAACTCTGGCAGAAAGTTCTGGTTGTTCATCCCCTTCTGATTGAAGTCCTGTTCCAGAACCTGAGTGTTTCGTGTACATCTGATTTATAGATCTGACTCATTTGTATGCAGATTGCTGGTTCCTTGCCTCTCAGGCAGATGCACTGCCACTTTGAAGGAAGCTCCCAATTAGTCGACTCTTACAACATGCTTTTGGGCAGGCAGTGGGTCTGTTCTTGTTTTCCCTATAACAGGGCCCCGAAACCCACACAGGGAGTTTCTACTGTAATACCCTTTGTCTTCTTTACGCCACAATCACTGACACTTAAAATTTTTAACAGCACGCAGACCTGAGTGCTGTTTGTTAGCTGAAAACGTGGTACCACAGCCATGTTTGTGCATTTGTCAGCCGAGGAAATTTTTTTCTGATACTTTTGATGAACTGTCTTTATGTCTAAGCATTTTTCAAATCATTTAGACTAGTGGTTGGTTGTGGTCGTCCAGGGAATTTTCAGCATTTTCTGTCAAACTACATTTCTGAGGTCTCAAGGAACATGTCTGATTGTTTACAAACTGATTAAGACTATAATAAATATTTACCAAAAGAAAAGAATCATTAAATTATTTAGGAAACCACTAGCCCCAGCGCAAGACGACTATTTTATTATGGACAGATCAGAAAAAGTCATTATCCTCCACCTCAGAACAGGGCACAACGGATTACGTAACTACATTTACACAAAATTCAAGATAGGTGTATCAGCCATGTGCACCTGTGGAAAGGTGCCCAAGACAGCAGAGCATGTACTCCAGGACTGCACCGAATTTGACACATTAATTAAGGCAAACCTTTTGGCCAGAAAGAACAACAGTGGAATGTAAACTCTATGGACCACTGAATGAACTAACAACAACAGTGAAATTTATAAAAGAGACAAAATTGCTGATATAGACAACTTATTTCAGGTGAACAAAAGAAGAAGAAGATATAAATATTTTAACCCCGTTGCCCAAGAAAGGCTAACTAAAACAGGCCATGACCCAGTGGGAGTTCTCCAAAATATCCTTAAATTTTTTTTTTTAAACAGGTCACTAATAAATTTGAAAAAGGTATTTATACATTTTTTTTTCTTTTAAATTTACAAAGTTAAATAAAGGGAGTTATCAATAAACATGAACAGAGTGAAGCCTTAAATGGAATACATTCACACGGGTGTAAAAACAATTTTTATCATGTGGCTCATTGTTTGATCTCTCTATTACTGAGGCTTATAGGAGAATGAGATGTTAATCTGGCTTGAAAAAAGCCATTTGTTCACAGGAAAACACCCCTTTAATGCTATATATTAATGTGTCATGGGGAGATGTAATGTTCGTTGATGAGCTTTGTCAAGAGCACTATTAAGATTGATGTTCATTTCTGTAAGGCTGGTCTTAATGCCATCACTCCATGTTTTTTTCAGAGGTCTTCCGTTCGCTTTATACCTGTTGTAACAGGTCCTCCTCTCACATTTTTAGTGTGGCTCGCTGTGGTAGATAGTACCAGGGCATTCTCTTTAGGTGTCCTAACCACTTCATTTGTTCTTTGATGACCTGTAAGACTTGCTTTATTCCTAGCATTGATCCTATTTCCTGATTTTGTATTCTGCCTTTCCTTGAAACTCCTGCAGCTCTTCTAAAGCATGTAATCTCTGTTGTCATAATTTTACATCCATTAGAGGATGTAGTGTCCACATTTAGCCCTATTAGCACAGCTTTGGTTAAAGTAGCCACACACACAAAAACAGAATTTCAGATTCCAACAGTTTTATAGAAAGGGGACTTCCCTGCCAAACAATAACATTTCCTAAGGGGACTTTCCTGCCAAACAATTAACATTTCCTAAGGGGACTTTCCTGCCAAACAATAACATTTCCTAAGGGGACTTTCCTGCCAAACAATAAAATTTCCTAAGGGGACTTTCCTGCCAAACAATAAAATTTCCTAAGGGGACTTTCCTGCCAAACAATTAACATTTCCTAAGGGGACTTTCCTGCCAAATAACAACATTTCCTAAGGGGACTTTCCTGCCAAACAATTAACATTTCCTAAGGGGACTTTCCTGCCAAATAACAACATTTCCTAAGGTGACTTTCCTGCCAAACAATAACATTTCCTAAGGGGACTTTCCTGCCAAACAATAACATTTCCTCCATCTCCCTTTTTAATGCCATCATAGTAAGCCCTTAACTTCTCTCAGAAAGGTAAAGTGAGGTTACATTTTCATTTATTTCCTCTAATTGCTGGTGTATTTATATATTTAGTATCAGATACTATATAGATTTTTTTTTACAGCCCCATCAATGTACAATGTTGCCAGTAACAACAGGAATCTTTCATGGGAAAGAATGAATCATTTTGCCTTTATTTCTTATGCAAAAAAGTGTTTGGTATAGTGCTGTTTGGATACGTCCAAGAATCAGAAATGGGCTAAGTACATACACTGAGGTACCACTGTATATTCATATCCTGACCTGCTAAACAGTTGCCCACAGCATATAACTATGCACCTCATATACGTATCACTGTAGAGAAGACAGAAAAGTGACATTTATGGGGAATCGGACCTAGCTGGAAGTGTCAGTTATGCGGTTTCTCAGGGCAACAGGGTTAGACTTGTTCTATGTAACATGCAAGTTTTTTTTTTCTTTCTTTAGACCTCTAATAACATGGATGTTATTTCATGAAAAAGAGTCAAGTTGGTATATATGTCAATTCTTCTTCTTCAGTTCGCTTGAAATAGATTATCTATATCTACAGTGTTGTCTCTAAAAATTAGTGAAAATACGGGGATGACTGCAGTCAAGCTAAGTTGTGATATTGCTCACATCAACTCTTAGAGATCCGAATACTCTCCTGTTTGTTACATTTGTGGAGTTTACTTCATGTCTGACAAAGGCTGCTGGCCGAAACGTTATTTGTGTTATTTTGTGCACGTTTATCTGCTTCCCAATTTCATTAAGCTTTTTAGTCACATTTCACTGGAGTTTAGTATTGTTTCTTGTATGAGTCGGCTCTGTAGCTAAGTCGATGTGAACGCTTCGTAATGCCGGGATGCCGGGTTCGATCCC